CTCCTAAGTTCCTTTCATTTTTAAATTCTTGACTCAAGTTACATAGGACACACTAATATATATATATATGTGTGTGTGCTTACTGTGTACATATACAAGGAAGGTAAATTTCTCAAAACAAGTGTACCACAGCCTGCATACACTTTTGACACTTAATAACAGAACTTCGCTTATAATTTAAAACATTGTCATAAATTTGCTCGCTTGCAATGGCGTTACACCAATTGAATATTTGGAAAGCAGCACAATTTAATCTGTCAATGCAAAATGAGAACTGGTTACAATGAATTCACGCAGATTAACAGACATGCTATATATATAATTGGCACTTTTTAATATGTTTGTGTATTGTTTTAATAACTTTGATATGTAATAAGCTTTGCAGGAAGCAATAATTATTATCTTCAGCAAAACTGGCATGACAAAACAGAGTCGTCACCTATAATGTTGTGCCAACGTTACTTATACTCGGGTTTTTCGTGAAACAATCATGTGTCCCTCATAAGAGCATGTAGGCTCATATGAGGGACACTGTGCTCTGGATATCGTAGAGACTGCGGACAAAACGAGCGTGTGGTTTAATCACGGTTTTGATACTCCTCTTTTTTTTTTAGTTCACCAGTAGCCACTTATGATGTAACGCAGCTCAAAGCACTGATTGAGTAAAAAGCTAGGCGGATCCGTGCAAATTCTGATTGACATTTTTTTGTGTGTGTGCGTGGGTCGGCAGGCTCTTGAAACAATGAATGTATCGACACAATTTCGGCGTGCTTGCATATTCACTCATGCACCATGGCACGTAACAAGTGCGTCAACTGATAAAGGCTCAGAAACACATTAAACGCGCTGAAAACAAGCAATTACACGCTTTCGCAGGCTCGGGCACGTGCGCTCCCAATCCTGAGATTTTCAGTACCATAGCGTTGCCGCTACTTTCACCCGCAGGAGAATCAGCCGAGATGCGGCGCATCTTAGACAACACGTAGACAATTCTTAGACAGCACGTGGACAGTCTATGCAGGCTGCTTAGAAGACAGCACCGAGCCCATGGTGTCTGAGAATTAGAAGACTTCTGGACAGCTTTTACGTGACGATGAGCCACCTCGCGTCAAGAAGAAAAAGCTAAAATAAACAAACGTAACAGTTGTATTTTCTGGCTTATTTCATGTTGAAATCAAAAACAAATAAACGTGACTCACATTCAGCGGAAAGCGTGTATTTGTGAGCAGACGACCATTATGGCAAGATTTGATCTATGTCAGCGATTCGCTGAGCCACCATCTTGTTTAGACAGCAAAGTAGTCTGCTTCGTATTTGTCTATGATGCGGTCTTCTCGGAGCTGTTTATTTTGCCGTATACATGAGAATTGGAATGGGACTTAAGATGACCGCCACCGTCCATTTAGTTGTCTATTTAGCCGTCTACGGTGAGTATTGGAACACAGCCTCTGTAGTTCTATGACGCAGCGCGAGCACCATTTTGGAGGCCACGCGCTTTGTTTTTATGCCGCTGCGCTTGCGTGGCGCTATCAGCAAAGAGGTTTCTCCTGCATTCGACAGCAGCCGCTTTACTGTGCAAGGTGCGACTTTCAAGTTTTGATTGACGTTGTTGTTGTTGACGCCATTGCGATACTACTTTCCTAGTTTCAGTGACTTTACGGAGAGTTGGCTCGGAACGCCCCCGCAAGATTGCAGCAATAAGTAGAAACAGCCCCCTGTGCAGAGGCCGTGAAGGAAGCGAGTGCATGCCTCGTAACGGGTCATGCTTGAGCGTGCTAGAATGCCCCACTTCATGATCGTAATGAACATTTGTAGACCTTTTTTTTAGTTTCTGAACTCCCCGCTTCGCCTACGGAGAGCAGGTGGTCAGTTGCAGTTCACGCCACAGTGGCGCTGCAGTCGAACTTTGTGTGAAGCAAACGAGAGTCGTCTGCTACTGCTAGGCGCAGTGTAGCCAGTGTGCAGCGTTCACAAAACGATTTCATGTTAAGAGTCCTGCACCACAATTTTTCGTTTCAGGAACTAGGACTATAATGTCGGGCCTAAATGCGTGCATGGAATCTTTCCGAGTTCTTGGTAATAATAATAGCTAGCGTAAGCATGGTGATAGGCAAGCATTTGTAGATTAAGAGCTGTTTGTCGCCCTCTAATTTGTTGTTCTTCCAGGTAGTAGAAGCAAAATTTGGAGCTCAATTGTATCAGCTACGTGTAAACGAAGTCTCGGTATAAACTCTGACTCATTTGGTTCTAGCTTAGTCATTTAAAGCTATTTTTGAAAGTCTTAGAATAGGGATCTTCGATGCTGTGTACATTGACTTTGCACAGCAAGAAGCACCTCAGCGGGCTGTACAGTAAAGGAAGTTGAAACCGAGTATTTGCTGTAAGGTATCAGACATGCTCAATATACCACTGAAATTATGCTATTTCTCTGTTCAGCTGCTTTAAACCAGAGCACTTTTTGTTTCTGAAATATTCAGATTTATCGGTGTCTATCAGTGGATAAAACTTGTGATCATTCAAATAAAAAATGCAAATTTTTGTGAAAATAGGAAAACATCACTGCATTGACACAAGAACACTTGCCATAATCACACACCAGTTTACAACTACGTTGCCTTTATCTTATGAAAAGGAAATTATATGTAATGTACACTTGTCACGAGCATTAAAATATCACACAAGTGCTTCCTGTAACGTTTCAGGCTTGTGAGCAGTAAACAAAGCATTAGCCAATCTATTGTGTACCTATACCCATTTGGTGATTTTGCTTCTCGTTGCATGATGGGCGTACTATGAATTGACACTTTCTGCAATTCAGGTATATCTTGAACTAGATCATTCAGAGTTGCTGGGAACGCAGTTCTAAATTTTTCTTTCAGCGGCATATCTCAAGTTACCTCCATTTTCGAGTGGCCGTGGTGCAGATTAAATGATTTCTTAATTACCTGGCTGCAATCTGCAATTTGTTCTTGGTCATTTTTGCCGTTATATTTTTTCAGTGTCCTTGCTAAAATGACCCAAGACACACATACCTCTGCGGCACCAGTCATACCCGCACAGTCCAAGTCATGAATATTTTTTTAGCGACGTACTTATGCCTTTCCCTGTGCTAACAGGCGGACAGCTGAGGCTATCAAGACTGCAAGGAGCACGACATACACGATGGCCTTTACATCCTTGAGTGACCACATTGGTATATGAAAAAGTAAATTTTTAAAAATTTCCCATTTGCTGGAACCATGTAGGTCAAATTCTAGTAGATGACGGTGCTCTTGAGGATGCAGTAGATATATTCTTTGAATTCTGCATTAGAGAAAACTGTAATTGGAGGTTTTTCCGCCTCCTCAGGGAGTGCTGAACTCTAGTTTCAGGAAGCTGAACTGAAGCCTTTTTTTGCCAATCGCTCAGAAAATCGCTCAGTCCTTGGAAGGAGCGGGTGCCCGACCTGTTGCAGAGATAGTTCTGGCAGATCGTAAGGCAGCAGCAGTTGGTTGAAGTTTCAGGAAGCTGAACTGAAGCCTTTTTTTGCCAATCGCTCAGAAAATCGCTCAGTCCTTGGAAGGAGCGGGTGCCCGACCTGTTGCAGAGATAGTTCTGGCAGATCGTAAGGCAGCAGCAGTTGGTTGAAGTCCAGGTACCCTTTCTTTGACGAACTTCGTCTTTTGCGGCTTCATGATAAGTACACTGGAAAGCTCGCAAATAAACAAGGAACTCCATCACTCCTCAATGTCCAAATACCACGGTTATGTCCAAGTACCACGGTCAATGTCGACTTCTCAAATGGATATTTCTCACTTCTGCAGTGACAGCGGGTCGGATGGGGGAGAGAAGCGGCGTTTCTCGGGGCATTTCCTGTACTTCCTGGTGCGCCCGTGCACAAAACACATTGTTATGATGTCCGCAAGGTCTGAGCTATGGTGCACGAGATAGCAGCAAGTGGTAGACATACACATGAGTTCAGTGCGTACACACATGGTCGATCGTGCCCACGATGTCAACAATTAGAGAGTTTTCTATGTCGCAGAGGTCCGAGTGGCTTCGTGAATGTAGGCGTCGAATTGTCTTCAGAAGACTGTGAGAGCATGCCACGCGTGCAGAAAGCGATGAGACATACACACAGCAAAAAACAAACAAAAAATAGCACCACTGAACACCGGCACGGAACGCACAAAACTGAATTCGCAGTGAAGCCAGCCAACGTTGGAGCCAGGCCCTGCATAGAGCAGCTGGTTATAGACTGCAGGGCCCCCACACTCAGTGGAAGCAAATGCGCCCATTTTGAGAGGAGGAGTTCGAGAACTGAAAAAGTATCTATAAACATTGATAGTAATATCATCGGCCATATTGGTTTTCAATTGACTCTTGGCTTGACTTCATTTGTGTCATGCAGTGCTGCGACAATCTATGTAAAAAAGGCTGTTTATATTTTCACAGCACCTTTTTAGCGATAAAATATTTTTTCGAGGATACACGCATGTTTTATGCAAGCTTTATTGTATGTTTATTTCTCGCGAAGTCATCGCTTAGAAAGGCTCTGGTCATGGCCATCATTCTAAAATATTTCTTTTGGCTGTGCAACAGTAGCCAGGTAAAATGACACGAAGTTCACCTAATGTCATTCGTTGACAATGACCTTAGATCAGCCGTGTGACAGGGGCACCAGAAACTGTTTGTATGCCCAGCGGAAGCAAAGCTATCTGAACAGGGCGGGCTGATACACCTTGAAGAATATAAGGAATAAACTTGATCCATACATGCCATCTTCACTCGTTATACACTCCCCGTTAGTTTTCGCGCGTATTCTATTAAATTATATCATTTGGCAAGTAACCAATTACTTTTTACGCGATGACGAAACATACTCTTTAGAAAATCAGTAACTGGAACAGCATTCTTTTTGCGTGCCCATGACTGCTTGTAAGCCGGCAGAAATACATGCAAGGCACCACAGAATGCAGATTCAGCTATTAGATGACAGTTAATTTGTAAAAACAAAAAAATATATCAGGCACACTTTATTTGAAGAAAACAAAACATCACCAGGACGACCGGGTCACACAACTTCACATGGAACCTTTCTTGACCATAGACTTGTATACTTCAGGATTGTCCAGTTGGGCATCGCAGACTTTTCTAAGTGACGATGAGCATGGTCATGCACCCTGCACATACAAATTTCATCAACAGGCACACTTAGCCTACTGATCACAACGCTGTCCACTTGTAGTATGCTCTCCTGCAACCCACTTTTTCATTGCATGATATTACAAAAAAATTAAATTTTTATGTTCAAATACTACAGATTTTGGTATGCTGCTAATTTTCAGAGAAACAAAATGCTACCATTTATTTATTCTGAAACTCTACTATCCTTCTCTCGCATGGACAGCAACTTGAGCCACCAGTTTACTTGTTTTTGCATAAACCTGATAAAAATTTCATTGGTTAAGCATTAATCTATATTTAAAAAAATCGCAGACAGCTTGAAATAGTTCTTGTTGCAACAACACCAAACTTGTCTGGTATGCGTGGCTTTTCTTTTTGTTGTTGTTGGTCATTGAAATGCAGCTCAGCTGTTTGCCTATTGGCAACCAGAAGCATGAACTCTTCAAGCTAAAGTGCCAGCCTGCAACCTGGGTGAAAAGGCGTGCACAGTAGATGTCATGATGAACATGATCAAGTGTCCATGTGGCGTTTCACATTAAAACGAAAAGTACAGAAACTTATTCGCAACTTTGAAAGTTAAAAATCATGATGCGGAAATATACTAAATTCCAAGCCTGCTTTCCCACTTATGAAATAGCTTTTCCTCTTGACGTAGGTGTTACTTCTATTATATTATTAGTGTAACTCAATGGTATAGCCGTTGATCTTTTGAAATGACCGGACATTTGGCAGTTAAGAAGCTGGAGCTGTTTTGTAAATTTTAGGTTGTTTTTACTGAATCAAGCATATTTATTGTTGCTTTCCAACATGCTTCTTTATGTTTACTGTGGTGTTTCCGTTTCAATTCCCTATTATTTTTTTTTCTCATGGTTTATGTTCAGTCAACTACGTTTTGGGATCGTTATGAGAACAATCATTTGGCATTCAGGGTAGCCATGCACTTCAGAGCGCAATGAGCTTCGGCGTTCTAAACGTTTGCATAAGAAACCATCCAGGTTTAAGGACTTCGTGTCCTAAAGTCTTCTTCTTACTCGCATGTTGAAGCCTGTACTATACGTGTGCATGTTGTGGGTATGCTGTGCATCTAGTTATTGTACAAGGTTATAAGGGATAGACTGGTATGCTGTGATTTCTTGTCGTATGTTAGTTGTATAAGTGCTTTCAGCCATGGTGTGCTGTGTACATAGCTTTTTTTTTTCTCCTTCTCATAAAGCTTCTCTCTTCTTCAATTGGTTACATTACGACAAAAGGAGGGGGGGACATTAAGGTTGTAAACACAGAAGTTCTACGAGTCATAACATTCTTCTAAAATTGTATAAGGTTATAAAAGTTACTTATGTGCTGTTATTCATTGTATAAGGATCTTAGAGCCACATGTCCTTTTCTTTCTAGGGGGGGGGGGGATGGTGTGGCGTTTCGGTTTTGATTTTATGGTTGCCAGATTCGGTTTCATGTAAAGTATTTTCTCCCTCAGGGGGCGCTACCTTGTGTATATATGCACGGCATTGTACATAATAAGGAAGTTACTGCTTCGCTACCGGCTCCTGCGTACCTCGTGTCGGCCGGCGCTTCAGCGCCGTGCCCTGTGTTCTCCATGCAGTGCGTCCACTGCACGATACTGCAATTACATATTGTTACGGGAGAGCACACAGAGAAACGAGGCGATAGTTGAGATATATTTACACAATGCCAAGCGTAAGCCTTTATGGCAAGCAAGAGCACACCCCACATCCCAAAATTACGTCGTCTTCCTCGTCGTCTTTCTTGCTTCTTCAGCGTGATGTAGTCTTGTAATATGACCCCCGGGTTCTGAAGCATCATCTCGGTGCTTTCTATCGTGTTGCAGAGCGGCAAAGCTTAAAACGGGAGACATGAACAATGTCCGTAGACAGTGGAGCGGAAGGAGATGAAGACTTCAGTGGGGCTATCTCGTAGGTGACGGCGGTCGCCTAGCACAAAACACAGTAGGGTCCCGAGTACCAAGAAAGCAGTTTTTCAGAGAGACCAGCATTCCGAGACGGGGTCCACAACAACACAAGGGAACCCAGGGCAAAGGAAAAGTCGCGATGATGTGCATTTTATCATTGCTTTTGTTGCTCTTGTGATGCTAAAAGGTGCTTATGAGCAACGTCTCGTGCTTCGCGAGCTCTGGTGATAGTGTCATGGGCAAATTCAGTCGGCGAATCGACAGCTGTTGGAAAGATTGTGTCTAAAGATAGAGTTGAGTCGCGGCCAAATAAGAGATAGAATGGTAAAAACCCAGCGGTATAGTGGCATGAGGAGTTGTGCACAAATGTAACAAAGGACAATGCAACATTCCAGTCTAGGTGGTGGGAGGAGACATACATAAATAGCATGTCAGGTAAAGTCCGGTTGAATCGTTCAGTAAGTTCACTAGTTTGTGGGTGGTAGGCCGTTGCAAATTTATGCTTGGTCTCGCAAAAGCGAAGCAGGTCGTCAATAACTTGGGACACAAAATAGCGTCCACGATCTGTGAGGAGTTGGCATGGAGAACCATGATGGAGGGTGACGTCGTATAGAAAGGAATCGGAAACATCTGTGGCACAGCTGGTTGGAAAAGCCCGTGTGATGGCGTACTGGGTTGTGTGATCTGTAGCGACAGCTATCCATTTGTTTCCGGAGATAGATTCATACCTTCAAAGTTCAAGGATTCTGAATCCGGGAGATTTCCGCGGGGGGGCATTAAAAAAACAAGATCAAATAAACAAACAAAAACATCGCGAAAAACAAAAGGGGATGGAAGGGGGGTCTCAATCCCAAGCGCCAAAATCAGCATTGCGGTCTTATAATGGCTAGGAGTGGCCGAACACACGAGGGTAGAGTATTTCACCAAGGTGAGAGTCTCAAAGGATCAATATAACTAGCAGAATCCATTTTAGTCAAAACAGTTCTCGTGTGTTTTCCTGGGACACACGTGAACGGATGGGACGGCGCAGCTGGCTGTGGCAAAAGCGCGGGTCAAAGCTTTGCTCGCTGCTAGATTCTTTTGACAGGAACGCCAAAACGCGTCTGGTCCCTTTTTATTGCGATAGAAATTATATGGACAGCCCAGGCTGTTTTTTTTTTTTTTGCCGTCACCACCACCACCGTTCTTCACCGTATATGTATACGTATCTATATATACGAATACTCAAAGAAAAAAAGCTGCCTGCGCTCGCCACCGAGCTCGCCGCGATGTGCCGACGCGTGTTTATTTCTTACGTGTACTTTGCCCCATGGATAGATGCCTGTGCGCGCGCGCTAATCCTTTGGTGGAGGAATCGTGTGTCTTCGGCTTTCACTGAAACGAAAGCGTTAGTTGCCGGGCCCACAAAGGTCACTTCGGTCTCTGCACAGGCATCTTTTGCGAAAACAGCGCACTTTTCATACACAGCGAGGTATAACAATTGGGACACTTGTTAGTTTGTACTCATCTGTAGCTGTGATTACGTATCATGCATTGTTTTTGTTTAAACAGCGCGTTACGTGTCGAGCAATAAACACTGTTAGTACGCTCTCATCCTGCGAGTATCGTTTTCGTGCGTCATTTGTGTGTGAGCAGCTCACGGCACGTTTCGATCTGCTTGCCGTTCTCAGCATTACATTCCAAGTTGTTGCTGTCGCATTTATTGCTTCGTCCTTGCAGCGAAACTAACTTTTTTTATTTTTTACCTATTTACTGCCTTTAACCTACTGCTGCGTGCCCTCGGAGCTCGTAGATCGCTATCGCGTCACCGCAACCGCGGTTTTGTGCGCGACAGTTGCGGCAAACACAAGTTCATTTTATAATCCACATGCGTTTAGCTGCACTTGCGCCTTCAAAACTAAGTCACTTTATGCCATCTACGATAGCATCTGCCGCTGGTTTGTCCTCAGAGTTTGCGGAAAGCAGCGTTGCTTTGACTGGTTGAGCGTACACTTTTGGGGTTCTCTCAGTTACATTGTCGCCATACATGACTTAGTCAAGAGCGACCACGGTTTCGTCCTCGGCAAATGTGGCAACGACAATCACACGCACTGTAGAAGACAGTGCGTGCGCCGGTCGCACGCGTACTTTCGAAGCTTCGAGTACGCTGCTCTCGACCTTCATTTGACGGTTTCCGTACTAAAGTTCGTATCACCCGCCGCGATTGAGAAATGTGTTCGGAACATTCAAATTGAGGCCCAATAAAGTAAAATAGTAAAATTTGGCTGGGGAATTTAAAAATTCGTATCTGCTGCAATTTCACATCACTGAGATTATACTGTACGTTTACATGAGCGCCTCTTAAACTCATTTATAATAAAATGGGGTAGGTTCGAAGAGCTTGGAGTGAATTGAGCAGCTTTTTTGTTAATGGGGCCAGATCAGGCACAGAAATTTCGATTTACGGGAGGTTTTCATGACAACCGTACAACTGGAAAAAATGGTCAAAATCTGGGAGGCTCCCGGACGATCCGGGAGACTTGGCAGATATGTAGATTCAGGGAAAGGGCCTAGGAGGTCAAAACCAACTCGAAAAAAGGGGTCAGTAAAAAGATCACGTGGCTGGGGGAGTCCAGCAGGACTCATTGCGTCGTTGGCACTGGTCACATGCGGTAACGTAGCGATGGACAGAACGATAAAGCCTGGGCTAGTAAAATTGACGCTGAACATGGTTGTACGTCTAAGAGAGACCAAGGTGACCGGAGGTGGGAGTCCCAAGGAGCTGGGCAATAACACTTGAACATAGGTGGCAAGGCACCACAAGGAGCAGTTCGTGTCAATTTGTGTTCACATTGTATCTGTACAAGGTGACTTCTTTAAGCACAAACTGTCGAGTAGACGAATGGGGCAGACGAATGGGGCAGACGAATGGGGCAGACGAATGGGAAGAGAATCTCGGTGCTGTTCACCACGGATGTTGCTCAAAGCAAAGAGAGAGAACACACATGGCGGCACTTTATCAAATGTCTCAGGGGAATCTACTGGACGGCGAGTCAGCATCATGGTGTAAGCGGCCAAATTTGAAAGATT